TTTGTTTGAATGGACTCAGCTTTCCAAACACTCCGTACAGCAACCCCAGGGCTCTGCCAGTGCCCCTGCACCATGACCCCCAGCACCTCCTGCTATTCACGTCTGTGACCCACAGACCTCTCGGTGCCAGCTGGCAGAGGGCACAGGGCACATGGGGTACAGGGATCCCCTGGGTTCACCATCGGGGTCATGTAACGTCTGCTGAAAGCCTGTGTCACACTGGTCATCGTGAGATGTAAGTGCGGCGACTATGTGGGGACGTCTGTGTATCTGCTGGAAATTGTGTTCTCCAGCCTTGCAGGTACAGGCAGGTCACTCAAAGGCAGTGTGCGGTGAGACAAGCTGCTCCCGACAGCAGGTGGGAGACACTCATCTCCCCGGGGGCCGGTGGGTTTTGTGTGTCTCACAATAGACGTCTGTTAATGGAGTGAGTCAAATGCTAACAAAGAGCCGGTGGAGACTGACCATGGAAGGCAATGAACAGGAAGAGGTAAACAGCAGCAGTTGCGGGGGGGACAACCCTGTTTTCAAATGAAGATCAAAGGTTTGGTCTGATATATCTGGGGGTGCAGAGAGACACCCTGCCAGTCCTTCAGTCCGTGAGGACAAGCTGCCAGCGGGCTTCAACTTACGGGAGAGGGTCTCCGCCGACCTGGCAAAGCACGGGGCAAAGGGCCTGGGGAGCTGTCCTGGAGAAGACGGGGGAAGGGCCTGTGAGTTAGGGGTCGGCTCTGGAAAGTGGGTTCTGATTGTGTTTTATATGAAACCATTTGTGTCCAATATTCTTACTCACTGTCACGTGAATCTCTGTTCTTTGATACCAGATTTATTCCTGTTCTCACGGTATGGAGCGATCTCTAGCGATAGCCAAGTGCTGTGTTACACGGAGCAGAGATCCTGAGTTGAATCTTCTAAGCTGGTGTATGCTGCTCCTTCGGGAACAGAGGGGCTGAGGCCAGGGCTACACCACAGACATATATCGGTGTAACTACGTCGCTCAGGGGTGCGCCCTCAGCCCGCCTCCTTCAATGAACCACCGAAATCCGAGAACAGGGTTTAATTTCCCTTTCCCAAGAGCGCAAATGAGGGTTGTTTTTAAAAAAGTAACTAGTGTGTTTTGAACTAAGGAGCTGCCGGCTGACTCTGCTGGTTCCCTGCCCTCACACCCGGTCACTCAGGAGAGGGGCGAGTCATCGCTGAGCTGGGCTCTGTACTCACCAGATGCTGCTGAGCTTGTGCCACGTCTGGTCTCTCACTTCAGGGGCTGCAGCGACGGCTGTTCTGCGACCACAGAACAACCCGATTCAGCTCGGGTTAAATGCTGGGCTGCAGAATGAGAGAGGCCAATGGGGCACGGTGCTGCTTCCTGCTTGCTGGCCCCAAAAGTGATGTGGGATCTTCCCTGGCCTCCTCCCTATATAGAGCTTAGCCCCTTTCGCCCCCGCAACAGCAGGACAACTCTGTGATGTCAGACCTTTCGCTTTCGGTTTCTTGCTGCTGGAAAGTCCCGTGTGGGACCAGTTGTGATAAGGTAACAGTCATTACTTTATAGTGTATTACGGGAATTTATGTTTTGGGTGAGTGGAAAAGCAAATCCCCTCTAGACAGGATTCAGGGGCACAGGCCGTTTGAAATGATTCAAACGGGAGCAGCCAGAACTTTCTGGCCTTTTCTTCAACGCAGAGTTAACACCAGAGTTAGGCAAAAAGCTTTTCTCACACAACTTTTTTTCGGCAAAGAATGGAGATTCAGAGACACCAAAATGGTTTGTAACTTTGTGTTGATTTTGCTGAATTGTTCATTTTTGAAAAAAATAAATAAATGTCAAAATGGCCAATTTTGATATTTTCAAAATGAACTGTTCAATTTTTTGTTTGAAATGAATTCTCATTTAGAAAACTCCTTTAATTTTTTTTTTTCTTTTTCAAAAACCTTGAAATCAAAATGAAATTCATCAAAAATATTTCTGGTTGAAACAAATTTTGTTTAGATTTTGATTTGCTGAAAACTTTGAAGTTTTTCAATTTCTGTCCAGTTCAGATTGAATTTTCTTTTTATATTTCAAAATTCCCAACACATTGATCAATCTGTTTGGGTTTCTATTGCCCAGTTCTAGTGAACTCACATTGTAGCTCAAGTGGTTGCTCTTAAGTCAAATCCTGTCCACACAAACTCCTTGTTCACGCGCAGAGCTGCTGTTAACTCAAGCTGGCTGGGCCATCAGGGGTACAGACTAAAGCTCGAGTGAGCACAATTCATTAGCTGCCAACTTGGCCACTGTGTCATGTGGATGCAATTTTAAGAGGACCCCCTAGATACTGATCCCGGCTCTTCTTGCTGCTGGCACAACCTGGCAGCAGGGTTACAAATGTAAGACAACTGCCTCCTCTTGTTTGTTTCTCCTGTGTTCAGGTGAACAGGGCAAAGATGAGAATAGCCAGACGAGGTCAGACCAATGGGCCATGCAGCCCAGTACCCTGTCTTCAGACAGTCGCCGGTGCCAGATGCTTCCAAGGGAATGGACAGATCAGAGCAATTGAGTGATCCATCCCCTGTCATCCAGTCCTAGCTTCTGAAGAGAAGGAAGATCAAATGGTATCTAAGGCCCTTAGGTCATCCCGCACCCCTCCCCCTTCTCTCAGCTCCATGGGCTTTGGCACCCCTGCCTAGCGAGTGCAGTTCAGGTGAGGGTGACTCCCTCGATCAGAGCAGCTCCGCTGCCTGTTATTCTCTCCCCAAGGGTAACAGCACGTCATTACCCCGACCCCCATAACAAAGTGACTTGTGATCCAGCACTGGCCACGAGTGATCATTTGGGCAAAGCAGTCCCATCATGCTGTGCACCGAGGCTGAGTGGGCGTGTCTATGCAAACAAGGTCAGTTCCTGAAGTCTCCTCCCCTAGCTCATCGCTAGACGCCAGGGGAGAGCTCATTCAGACCCTGCTTACACCAACCCCCTCCGCCCTCCCACACATTATCAGTTCACTGTGCGGGGGACACTCTGCACAGAGTTTCACAAACAGCCCCCCCTTACATGCTGGCCCTTAGGGTCTGGACACCCTTCACTTCAGAGCCCTCCCCTTTTAAGGGTTTGCCATTCCTTTTCCTTTCTCTCAGAGGATGGTGATTCCTGGTTTCACAAAGCGGGGACAGCTCCTGCCTTTCTTAGATTTCCAAGATTGGGGTTTTCTTCTCAGTTTCAAGGTCTTTCCATTAACTTCCAGGGGCCCCCAGTTGCCTCTTCCTGATGGGACCATGGATGGGAACTTGAAGTTAGTTTTATCTAAACAGCTAGTCTGGGGGGAGCCCCTCCCTGCTGGGAGGTGCACTTGGGATGGTGGTACAGGTGATAGAATCATAGAATATTTGGGTTGGAAGAGACCTCAGGAGGTCATCTAGTCCAACCCCCTGCTCAAAGCAGGACCAATTCCCAACTAAATCATCCCAGCCAGGGCTTTGTCAAGCCGGGCCTTAAAAACCTCCAAGGAGGGAGATTCCACCACCTCCCTAGGGAACCCATTCCAGTGTTTCACCACCCTCCCAGTGAAATAGTTTATCCTAATATCCAACCTAGACCTCCCTGTGATGTTATTGACATGAACTGTGACCGTATAGATCATTGTTGCAACCAGGGTCCTATGGTTGCACCAGGGCTTGTACAGAGGAGGTCAAGTAAGTTGTCTATGGAAAGTTTGTAATTTGCTGGTTATGATTATGCTGTCGGTATGTGTGTATCATTTTTGTACTTGAAGTTATGAATGTTGGCTCTGTACTTGTATCTCAATGTGTTTGATTCTAAGTAGTCTCAGGGAAGCATTTGGTCAGCTTCTTGAGAAAGGACTATTCTCAGTAAGTGCCAAATCAAGAAACACTGAACTGACAATGGACTTTGGGAGACGCCAATCCACATCTGAGCTTTCCTGGGAATGTTCAAACTAAGGCTAGGTCTACACTACCCGCCTGAATCGGCGGGTAGAAATCAAACTCTCGGGGATCAATTTATCGCGTCCCGTTGGGACGCGACAATCGATCCCCGAATCGACGCTCTTACTCCACCAGCGGAGGTGGGAGTAAGCGCCGTCGACAGGAAGCTGCAGAGGTCGATTTTGCCGCCGTCCTCACAGCGGGGTAAGTCGGCTGCGATACGTTGAATTCAGCTACGCTATTCACGTAGCTGAATTTGCGTATCTTAAATCGACTCCCCCCTGTAGTGTAGATGTAGCCTAAGATGTAAACAATGGCGTCGGCCTTCAAAAACCTGAATCATTCATAGACATGTGAATTGCCCAGGTGGCTACAAACTCCATCTTGTTGCTGTGACTTTGCACAGAAGAACAAAGGGGTTTCCACCCACAAGAGTGTGGGCACGCAGTGTGCAGAGGCGGTCAAAAAAGCAAACAGGATGTTAGGAATCATTAAAAAGGAGATAGAGAATAAGACTGAGAATATATTATTGCCCTTATATAAATCGATGGTATGCCCACATCTCGAATACTGCGTACAGATGTGGTCTCCTCATCTCAAAAAAGATATACTGGCACTAGAAAAGGTTCAGAAAAGGGCAACTAAAATGATTAGGGGTTTGGAACGGGTCCCATATGAGGAGAGATTAAAGAGGTTAGGACTCTTCAGCTTGGAAAAGAGGAGACTATGGGAGGATATGATAGAGGTCTATAAAATCATGAGTGATGTGGAGAAAGTGGATAAGGAAAAGTTATTTACTTATTCCCATAATACAAGAAGTAGGGGTCATCAAATGAAATTAATAGGCAGCAGGTTTAAAACAAATACAAGGAAGTTCTTCTTCACGCAGCGCACAGTCAACCTGTGGAACTCCTTACCTGAGGAGGTTGTGAAGGCTAGGACTATAACAGAGTTTAAAAGAGAACTGGATAAATTCATGGTGGTTAAGTCCATTAATGGCTATTAGCCCAGGACGGGTAAGGAATGGTGTCCCTAGCCTCTGTCTGTCAGAGGATGGAGATGGATGGCAGGAGAGAGATCACTTGATCGTTGCCTGTTAGGTTCACTCCCCCTGGGGCACTTGGCATTGGCCACTGTCGGTAGACAGGATACTGGGCTGGATGGACCTTTGGTCTGACCCAGTACGGCCTTTCTTATGTTCTTATGTTAAGAGAAAGAATATAAAAGACCCTGGAAGCCTCTCCATTTTGTCTTCAGCTGGCTTAAGAGATGGCCTCTCCACCCCAAAGAGATGCCTGAAAGAAACTGGAACAAAGGACAGTAACTACAGGGGTGTGAGTGATTGCTGGACCCAGACTAGGAAGGAGTCCAGTCTGTGAAAGAAGCTTATTGGAACATCTCTGGAGGTGAGATTTTATCTGTAATCAGTTTCTTAATGTATTAGGCTTAGACTTGCGCGGTTTGTTTTATTTTGCTTCATAAGTTACTTTGTTCTATCTGTTATTACTTGAAACCACTTAAATCCTCCTTTTTATATTTAATAAAATCACTTTTGCTTATTAATTAACCCAGGTGGCAGTATTAATACCTGGGGGAGCAAACAGCTGTGCATATCTCTCTATTAGTTTTATAGAGGGTGGACAATTTATGAGTTTACCCTGTATAAACTTTATACAAAGTAAAACGGATTTATTTGGGGTTTGGATCCCATTGGGAGCTGGGTGTCTGGGTGTTAGAGACAGGAGCAATTCTTAAGCTGTTTTCAGTTAAGGCTGCAGCTTTTGGGGGACATGGTTCAGACCTGGGTCTGTATTTGCAGCAGGCAAATGTATCTCGCTCAACAAGACAGGGCACTGAAGTCCCAAGCTGGCAGGGAAAATGGGTTCAGAGGTAGTCTCAGCACATCAGGTGACAGTCCCAAGGGGGTCTCTGTGACCGAACCTGTCACACTCTGTCACGGAGTATTGGGGAACTCAGGGCCCTGCACCCCCGGCTCCCTG